TTTTTTTTTTTTTTTTTTGGCTAACCTCTGTTTAGGTCCTAGCTTAGCTGTCTCTTTCTCAGAAACATTTTTCTGATGCAGTAGATTGCTTACTCCCTTTATGTGCTAATTTTACTTGGTAGGTCTCTTTATCATTATATTAATCACAATCTATTGCAAGTATCAACTTAAGTGAATGCTTTCTCTTTTACATTGTGAGATATTTGAGGAGAGAAGTCATGTTTATCTATCACTGAATGAAAGGAATTGGTGCAATGCATAATACATGGTGATAAGATAAACTCTCATTATTTTTTGTTCATTAGATAGACAAATGAAACAAATAAGGTAAATAAATGGAGAAATTGAGCAAAAATGAATGTAGAAAAATGTATAAATTTAGGAATTGTGCTAGAACACAAAATAAATGTTACAGTTACTGCATAGTTTCTTTGACTTGGGTTGCAATTTTACCACTCATCTTTCTGATATTCAGGCAATAACAAAAAGCACAAATGTTAAACAATTTACAATGTTCTTAAGATATAAATTCTTACTTTAAGAGAAGCAGAGCAATCACTGATAATGATACCTGAGATAAATTTGTTTCATGGTTTTTCAGAAGAAAAAAAAAGTTGTACAATGTAAATAACAGCCTCAGCAATATTTTTACCCTAAATATGTAATTTTTTTATAGAACTCCACCTACTGTCTTAACATGCACCAGAAGTACTATAAAAAGTACAGTCCAATAAGAGGAAAGTTACTTTGGGCCCAATAAATGTGATTTAAGGACATAGCTATGTGCTCTGGCTAAATGTAAGGATAAAATCAGGGTTATAGCAATTCTATCCAGTGGTATTTGAAAGGATAAATGTTCATATTTCTTTCTGAGAATGTAACACATGTATTGACATAATCCTCCAGGAAACAAGAACAGAAGCACCAAAAAACTGTAAAACACATGTTCAATTGTGTGAAATTATGTGTTCAGTTGTGCTCTAAACCCCGACCAGATTAAGAAAATGTTGATTTAATAGTTCTATTCATTTATAAAACCAAGTTGTGATAAATACAGGACAAATGTTGATTCCCACAAAACTGTATAATTATAAAATCTGGGTTTCAGAGTTAGTTGTCCACATGCCATCTCCTATATCAACCTCAACAGCATTGACATAACACCTCTCTAGTTATTCTGCTGTTATCTTTACACTATCTGTTACAAGTTGACTTCTGTCTCCCAAAATATATGTGGAAGTCCAGACGCCCAGTATCTTATAAATGTAACCTTGTTTGGAAATAGAGGTTTTGCAGATATAATTAAGAGGAGATCATTAGGCTGGACCCTAATACAATATGACTAGTGCTCTGATCAAAAGAGGAAAAGAGATACAGATATGGACAAACATAGAGAGAATGTAATATGAGGACACACAGAGAGAACACTGTGTGACAACAAAGGCAGAGGCTGGAGGAGGGGAGTGATGAATCTACAGGCCCAGTTTCAGAATTTATATAAGTATCAATAGTCAGAAGTCTATAATGAACCTGTCTATATAGTTTAGTCTGTTAACAATTCTAGCTCCACAGTCATCATTGCATAATGTCAATAAAGGCTTTTACATAATCTTCTTTATATCAAATTTCTCTCGAGATAATTGTTTAACAGTGATTAATTGTCAAATAATTTCATTTAATAATCTTTCTTATCCACATGTCTGTAAATGAATTTAACATATTTTAAAATATATTTGTCAAATTACTATGTTAATTCATTCATAAATAAACTTTCTGTGTTATTTTTACATTAAACTTTCTATCTCTACAATGTAAGAGAAATATATCAAAAACCAACCAAAAGTGCCCTAAAGCCTACATATTATGTGGTGGTTTAGAAATTACATTGTAAAAGTAGAAAAAAGTAAAATTTCCAAATACAAGTAAGAAACTGAACTTTCATGAATTTATTCAGAAAATTCATAATTTGGTTAATTATACCACAGAAGCTGCCTTATTATTGAATCAAATGAGCAAATTAGTCCTGTTCTCCAACAGAGATTTATTATATTTTAATTTTGTTGAGACAGTATAAGTGATTATCATAAAATGTGACTTTCAAAAAATTTATAAAGGTAGTGTTATTTGGAACATATAAAGACCTTCATTGGAAAAATTTTTACTTAGATAATCTTATAAAGACTATCATTAAATAAGTTCATTAAAGTTTAATACAACATAATAACTTGATTTAAGAGCAGTAGGACCTTACACATTTTTATAATGAAAAATGAAAGAATTTTAAAACTGAAAGGATCCTGGAAATCATCTGAAATAGATTTTTATGATAGGCCACAAAATCAGTTGTCTTGTTTAGGTATTTTTATTTTTTATTTTTTATTTTTTTCCCATTTATTTATTTTATTGTATTTTAGGTTTTGGGGTACATGTGAAGAACATGCAAAATTGTTGCATAGGAACACACATGGCAGTGTGATTTGCTGCCTTCCTCCCCATCACCTACATGTGGCATTTCTC